TTTGCACTCCCTTCAATACATTTTTCATTTTCAGAAGTTTTGTCTGCTTTTCTTAATAAAATCTATTTCTTATACCCTACATTATTTTTTCTCATTTATTCTTGATAATTTTTAACTTTCTTTTGGATCTCAAGCTGCACATAATCCCATATTACTTAAAGGTCTTATTTCAAGAAGACTTCTTTAGAATCAATATTTTTGGATCCTTTATCAGCATATCAAAGATTTTATTTAGGTTAGGATTAATTGCTTGAGAGTCATTGTGGTCCTTTGGAGGTGTTTTAACAATCTATTTTCTTTATACTTCCAGGATTCTTTCTCTGGTTCTTTCTAACTTAAATAGGCTATCTCTCCTTATTTTTAATTTATTTTGTTTGAATAAGCTTTTTTCCATTTGAAAATGTGTCTATAATGTGTGTTGTGTAGGATCTAACAGGCTATATTGAGGAGGATCAAGAGAAAATGCCGAAAAAGGAAATGCAGCAGGCAGCATGAAAAGTTGTTTTCAGGAGTAGTGTTATGAAAGAAGCAGAAAAAAAAAGGCGTGGTTATTAGCAAAGTTGTGGAATCAGGCTTTTGTTTATGTTCAATGCTAGACATAATATCATGCGTCCATACTGATGAGAATCATCAGTAGAGATGAAGGAAACTGACAATGCAGAAAATAGGAAAAGCAATTACAGAGGAAGGTAAAAAGAGATTAACCAGGACACAGAGTTTTTCGTTGTACAAGAAGGGAAGATTGTCTGTGTGGGTAAAAGGCAGGTAAATGTGTACCTGTAGTGATAAAGAATATTGAACTTTTTTCTGCTTCTTCTACTTTCTTTGTTATTAAAAAACAACAATGTAATCAGAAGAGAAAGAGGAGGAAGAAAAGAAAGAGTCTTCAGATTTAAAAAAATGTGAACTAGTAATCTTGAAAATTAAAGAAACATACTGGCTGGGAAAATGGTCCAATAAAATATTGGACAATTGTCATGGAGGCCCCCTGAAAGTCTGTGCTTATGAATTTAAAGTGAGCATGGTCAGATGTTTGAATTATTTCCTCTAGGCATGCAGCTCTTTGTATATAGGTTTAGAGAAGGCAGAGGATTGGATGAAATCATTTTTGTTTGTCTAGTACAGTAAAGAATGAAATGGACAAAAATATATGGAATATATGCTCAGGAGTGAGTATAATAAGAGATTATGATGAGAAAGGAAGTGAAGAGGTAAAATTAGAGATTTCCTGTGAAAAGATCAGGGGATTCATAGCCTAAAGAGCTAGGGATGGAGCTTCTTGAAACAAATATATGAAAGGGAGTAAATTTAAAACATAGAAGGTGGTTATGAAGACTGGGATGGTCAAAATGGAGAATTTAAAAAGTAGGTACTGATGAACTGACTGCAGTGAAAGACTTTCCAGAGAACAGGTCAAGAAACTGAAAGGCCAGAGCATTGGGAATATGATCTATATTTCCTAAAATACAGGAAAAAGGTCAGAAATAATTCTGACAAAAATGACAGGGAGTCTAGAATGAAAATTATCAAGAAATGTTGAGAGTTGTGATGTGCCAGTCTATAACTAACTTCAACAAGGAAGTTAGAGAATAGTATGGTAGGGTGGTGTACCTCTTCTTGGGATTTAGAAGTCTTGTAGAGGAAAAGCTCAGATCTGGAAGTGGTAAAAACAAAGGATCAATAAGAATTTTTACATTTTAGGGCCATTGATATGGAAGTTGTAGAAGGAAAACAGCCCTACATGAGAGAGTTACATGGAGTGTCATTGGGAGTAAGCCAGGCTTTGTTCAGAACAAGAAAGTGAAAGGGCTACAAAGAATGTAGGCACGAAATACTTTGCTGGTAACACACATGAATTTCCCTGGGCAAAATGAAAGAGTCTGAGTAACAGAAAAAGAGTAAGAGAGTCAGTGGGATTAAGGGATATACTAAACCATGTGGAATGGGAGCCTTGGTTCCCAGAGAAGGTTTCAAAATCTTGGCATTCTGCTGGTGACAAGATGTGAGGCATGATGTAAACTTATGGCAAACAAAACATCAATCTAAAATGGCCCAAAGGAGGGTAATGTTTTAGAACTTTTTAAAAAACTACATTTTAGTGGTTTAGCCAGAAAAGATTTAGCTCACATACAAAGTAAATTAGAGCTTTTCTTCAATCTTTTGCAAACAGGAAAACAAGCATTCCCTACCTGTGCTATCTATTGTTAGGGTTTCATTAGGTCTAACTGGAAATTATCTCAAGAAACAGCACACCATGATGGTTAATTGTCATTAGAAATAATGACAGCAGAGAATCAATTTAAATAAAATCTCTTAAATTAAATAATTAAATGAAATAACACACTTAACCTCCTAAGGTGATTTTTATGATGAATTCATCCTGAGAGAGGTCCAAAAAATACAGTGCTGCTCAATATCATACGGAAAGCAGGAGTCACACTACAATGATAAATAACTTACATAATAACAGTGTGCAGGTATGTGCATGCAAGTGAGCATGTAAGTATAAGTATGTGGGGAAGTAGTGTGATTGGGCATTCATGTGAATGTAAGAGTGAGTGTGTGATTGTTGTTGTATATGTATGTTACTATATCACACACATTCATCATCTCCACTGAATTGTTGAAGATTTCAGGCCTACTTTAGGAAAACATTCTCCCTATCTGCAAGCCCCCCCCCCCCCCGAGTCTCCTGCATGCTAACTCTTTCCCTGGGTGAAAATACAACTTGATAACAAATGTCTGTTTACCTTGTGTGTGGTATACAGAAAAAATACAACTTTTGAAAATCAATTACAGTGAAAAATGCATATCAGGCCACTGTGAGAGAACCCAACCGGGGTGAAGTGCAATCTCTCCCTCCCCAAAGTCTCCTTTGAGAAATCTTATATTTGAGGGTAACAACTTAATAGATAAGTTAAACTTCCCTATCTACTCAGTTCCTCCTATCTCTTTATGAAATAAACTTCCTAAATAGCACGCATGGATTCTGTATTGGTTTGTTTTTATGCTGCTGATAAAGACATACTCAAGACTGGGTAATTTACAAAAGAAAGAGGCTTAATTGGACTTGCAGTTCCACCTGGCTGGAAAAGCCTCACAATTATGGTGGAAGGCAAGGAAAAGCAAGTCACATCTAACATGGGTTGTGGCAGGCAAAGAGAGCTTGTGCAGGAAAACTCTGCAAGCAATTAGATCTCATGAGACTTATTCACTATCACTAGAACAGCATAGGAAAGACCTGTCCCATGATTGGATTATCTTCCCACAGGGTCCCTTCCACAACACCTGGGAATTATGTGAGTAAAATTCAAGATGAGATTTGGGTGGGGACACAGAGCCAAGCCATATCAGATACATTGTTCTCAGTGTAATTTTGTGCCCTCAGCTGCACTAACAAAGTGATACTTCCCTTTGTCCAAACAGAGCCAAAACACACTTTTCATTTATTGTCTCGCCTAATATATAACTATTTTATGTTTAACTTTCTTTTTTCTGACACCAAGCTGGAGACTGTTGCCCAGGCTGGAGTGCAGTGGCACCATCTCGGCTCACTGTAACCTCTGCCTCCCAAGTTCAAGTGATCCTCCTGCCTCAGCCTCCCTGTTAGCTGAGATTACAGGCATGTGCCACCACGCCTGGCTAATTCTTTGTATTTTTTTTTTTTTTTTAGTAGAGACGAGGTTTCACTGAGTTAACCAAGATGGTCTCTATCTCCTGATCTTGTGATCTGCCTGCCTCAGCCTCCCAAAGTGCTGGGATTACAGGCATGAGCCACTGAACCCGGCCTGTGCTTAAATTTTAATTTATTATGTTTAATTTTTGCCTTTTAAAATTTCATAAGCTCTATTGACTTTAAAATTTTTGTCTTTTAAAATTTTATAAGCTGTACTGAATTCTTTTCAGAATCTCAATAAAATGGCAGCTCTCCAGCAAGGTATAAAGGCAAATATTTGTAAATAAAACTGAGGTTTAGAGTGCTAGCTAGTTGTATCAGGCTTTTGTAACATATTAGATAAGCATTATTATGCCCACTTAGCAACCAAGGGAACTGAGGCTAAGGGAGATTAAGTGATATACTTCTACAAGTCACTTAGATGAGAGGAAGCATAATTTGTCTATTTACTTTCAAGAACATTAGCTATCATGGTATCTCTGAGTAGGTGCTTAGTGAATGTTTCTTGATTGATGGAAGCTACTTGTCTCACTGAAAAAAATTACCATCCAACAGTTCAGGGGAAAAAAAACTTTTTTATCAGTTAATTCAATATTTCAGTAAAAGTTTGTTATTTGAGCCACAGTCATCCCCCTCATCCCAACCCACCTCCTTTACTAATGAAATATTTCATTTTATTTGGTATGTACTAAGTTATCACAAGGACGGTAATTAGTTTATTGAACAGAGAAAAATGGAATTTTAGAAATGTAAGAGTGAGTGAATTTCCAAATGAGGATACAAATATGCTCTGTATCTTTACTATGATAAATATACTATTCACTACAACACAGAAAAGGTTTTTGATCCTTCTGGTTGTATAATATAATTTACAAATCATATTTAGTAAGCTATTCTGTTAACGCTGATGACAGAAATAAGGTGGTAAAAAGAGATCTGCTAAGAATTACTCCTGGATAAAGTTATATAATCTTTTCTTGTGAGCTACCTTGACTAAATAGTTTGTACAAAATCATTTTCTTCATAAGCATAATAAAGTCTGTTCCAACAACCTTCTTGTAGGATTTTCATAAGGGTCAAATGTGAATATATTTGTTAAACTGTCTTGAAATCATAAAGCATTGAATAAATAAGGAAATTATTATTATCACTCAGGTGTTTACCTTTGAAAAAAGTTGAAAATGTAACTTTGTATCATGTAAGACTTTCACTTAAGAGTATTCATTCTACCATGAAGAAAAATGATACTGATAAATGTTTTGATATTAACTCAGTTTGATTCTTTAATGATATGCATGGTTTCTTTGCCTTTATCATATTTCAGGATTGTTCAACCTGAACTGAAAGCACTTGCAGTGGGTTTCCATTCAATGGTTATACGAACACTAGGTATGACAAATCTATAGATTACAAATTTTAACATAAATATTAATGTTAAGGCTTAAAGACTGAATGCAATTAATTTTCAACTATATGACTGTATAAAGAAAGGAATAAGCAGAAATCATTTCTACTTTGTAATAAATGAAAATAAAAAGAAACAGGAAACTTGAGTGATCTAAAAGATAAATTGATTGCTAATTCTAGTTAAAGTCGATCTGCTAAGAGCAAGAAATCATCATATTTATGTTATATTCTTCCTAACAGAAATGCAAAGATAGGTGGTCTCTGAGGTTTTCCTTCTTTCAGAAAAATAAGATTTTTTTTCAGATATAAGCAGAGTGGAGGGCCTTTCTTCTAAAAGGAGTATTATTTAGGACAAGCCTAATGTTGCTTGGGAGCTCTGGGAATCTGGTCAGGCTGAGGTTGTCTAAAACAACAGAAGCTGACAGTAATTGTGCCACTTCCCACTGCCTGGTCCTGTAAGGCTGGGCAGCTAAACATTAGCAGGAGTTAACGCAAAAGGGAATGAGAATTCAGCCTCTAGAATGGGCATGTTGGATTAAGAGCATGTTCTCAATAAAATAAAGCTCAGAAAATTGTGGTTTATGGTGGCAAAGGGTAGGATTATAGACTCCAGAGGCTAAAGGCCTATTTCTAAATACGCAAAGGTGATGAGAAAAGATTTAGAAAATTATGCTTTCTCCCTTACTGCCATTTGCTTTTTTTACTGCACAGATGCTTGTTGTTAAATAATGTCTAGTCTAATCTCTGTGAGTTCTCCTTTGTAAGAATTGTAAACATTATGTACTTATTCCTGGGAAGTAGGAAAAGGGCATCATTCATTTGGGGTTGGTGCAGAGGACAGATTATGGCCTGTAGGTAACCACTGATGGCAGAAGGAAAAGAAAGTAGGGGTCAGTTCCTGGGACCCTTGCAAGCAAAGGAAAAAGCATAACTCTATGACCAAATTACAGTGAAGAAGTTGTATATGAAATGTATTTGGTGAGAAGGTCACAGATCCTGAAAGGTAAAAGGAAATATAAAGGAATAGGAGAGAGAGGATGGAGATGCTGCAGGGTTCCATTGGCTCTATCCCAGCGTTACCTTTCTGTGTCCCTAATCTTCAAGCCTCTGTAATTTTGGCAATTCTCTACCTACAGATTCAATGAAGATAGCTTGCTCCTAGAACCTGGGATGCAGAGGCTGAAAATAGCATCTGGTAGTTAGGAATCCTTCTGACATGTTGCAATGAGACTATTACAATAGAAGACATTGTCTCAGCAACATAAAACAGAAAAAAATAAATTTTGCCATTCTAATTGTGAGTCTCCTATTTTGATATGTCCAATACATGGCACAATGGAGCCTAAATACTTCTGTGGGAAACATCCACACTTAGTACCAAACTTCCAATGCATAAACAATTGTCTTAAATATGATATATGTGTAAATGGTAGAAAGCCTATATAGTGTGTTAAACTAAAAGAGATATTTAGAAAATAGGTTATAAAAGGTATGAATTATAAACAGAGCAAGAACAAAGTAAAATCTTGTATGTTTCAGTTCTGCCATCTGAAGGATAGCTCTCTACTATGATGTCCCTCAAAATTTTGACCAAATAACCTATTCTTAAAACTAGGAGTTAATCTCAGAATGTATACTTCTATAAACAATGTTTGTATCCCTGGAATGCCACACATTCAGCAAAATCATGCACTACAAATAAAAATTGACTTAGGGACAGATCACTGAAATATGCACCATTGTGCACTAACAGACCACTAACAGAAACAAAATTTAGCCGCAGAGACCCTAACCTGCAGCCTAGGTTGCTTTAGGAGATAGTTAAAAGTGCATGAAATCAATGGAGACAAAATGCTGGATTGCAGACTCTAATGGCCCAAAGAAGGAGAAAATTGGGCTCTGAGCCCCAGAAAGAAGTCAAACCGGCCAATAGCTTAGCACTCTTTGAAGTTGGGCCCGAACTTCTCTGCGAAAGGAATCCTAGTGTAAGCATTTAATTTTAATTATTTTAAAATAGTATTAAATTCTCCTGCCTTTATAGCAGTTGAGCTGAGAGCTTGGTTATAATTTGACTCCCTGTCAAGTTATAAAGTTATAATTTGACTCCTAGTAATCTAACCATTCTTGCCTAAGAAAAATTCCACATGAACCAATGTAACTTTCATGTTTTACTAATAGCATTCCTTTTTTTTTTTTTTTTTTTTTACCAATCAGGCTTAAGTTAATTGGTATTGCAGAAAGAGCAGAGTACATAGATATGTAATACTCCTTCTTTTCTCTGTATATAGGGAGAGAAGAGTAGATCAGATATATCTATGACATTACTATATGATTTACATCTTTGCCATTTCTAATAATTTTGTTTCCTAGTGGGTATAGGCCAAAACAATTGAATAATTTTCCCAAACTTTAAACTTGTATTAATTCAAAATGTATCAGTGTAGACTATCACCCAGTTATATTTAAAACAGTTCACTTGGATTGATACCTTCTTATCTCACGTTGCAGGAGGAATTCTAGCTCCAATATATTTTGGAGCTCTGATTGATAGAACATGTATGAAGTGGTCCACCAACAGCTGTGGAGCACGAGGGGCTTGTAGGATATATAATTCCACATTTTTTGGGTAAGTTGCCATAAACACATTTCATTAATGGATTTTTCCTTTGTCTATGTTAATGTCTCACATATAGAATTTTTAATGTGATCATAATATTAATAATGATAGCTACCATTTAGTGAACACTTACTTTGTATTCACTATTGTATCAGGCAATCTGGTATCTTATTTTAATACACTTAGAAGCTGTAGGAAATGTATATATTCCTCCTTTTTCCTTAAATATGAAGAAAACAAGATTCAAGAATAACGAGTAACTTGTCCAAAATTGCACAACTAAAAGTAATACAGCTAGGATTTGTACTTGAATCTCTTGATTACAAAGCTCTCCTCCTCTGGCTTCTGCAGGAAGGCACAGAATGACCAGCTGTAGCTCTGTTTATATGGTAATTGAGAAAAAATGGGCAAAAATGTTTTGATGCTCTTCTATTCATAGGCAGAAGTATTCTGTAAGTGGCATTGAAATAACTCTGTTATCTGTAAGAAAAAAAAAAGCTGCTACAAAAATTGTACCTTCTCTCTTATAGAAACATTAATTTGTAATTAATATATTGATCAAATATATAAATATGTAAATTATATATTAATCAAATATATAAATTTGGTTTCTGAAACTATAAGTATTAGAACTACTTATAGTAGAATTTCTTTTAATTACCAAGGAAGAAATAATGTGTTTGTAAGTATGACCCGAATGCTTCAAAGTATAATAGAAAAAATAACGGTGAAAGGATTTATATTGCTTTGTGTATACACCCAATAATAGGATTGATGGGTTAAATGGTAATTCTGTTTTACGTTCTTTAAGAAATTGTCAGACTGCTTTCTACAATGACAGAACTAATTTACATTCCCACCAGCAGCGTATAAGTGTTCCCTTTTCCCCACTTCCTCTTCAGAATCTGTTATTTTTTGACCCATTAACAATGGCCATTCTGACGGTTGTGAGATGGTATCTAATTGTAGTTTTGGATTGTATTTCTCTAATAATAATAATAATAATGTAAGCATCTCTAATAGTGGCATAGAATCCTAAGTGAACTAATACATGAACAGAAAACCAAATATCATATGTTGTTCCTTGTAAGTGGGAGCTAAACATTAAATACATATGGACACAAAGAAGGGAACAATAGACGCTGGGGTCTACTTGTGGGTGGAGGGTGAGAGGAGGGTGAAGATGCAAAACTACCTATAAGTGACTATGCTTATTACCTGAGTGACAGTAAGTCTGTACACCAAACCTGCATGACATCCAATTTACCTGTGTAACAAACCTGCACATACACCCCTGAACCTAAAATAAAAGGTAAAAAAAGAAGAAAAAGAACAAGAACAAATAATAAAATATTTTAAAAACTGAATCACCCAACATATATTAAGCAAAGTTCAACAAATTAGAAGAATTTATAATTCAAACACAGACACAGACAAATGTCCTATGTGTATAAAGATCTCTTTAAAATCCATAAAAACAGGCCAGGTGTAGTGGCTTATGCTTGTAATCCTAGCACTTTGGTATGCCAAGGCAGATCACTTGAGATCAGGAGTTCCAGACCAGCCTGGCCAACATGGTGAAACCTTGTCTCTAGTAAAAATACAAAAAAAAAACAAATTAGCTGAGCATTGTGATGCATACGTGTAATCCTAGCTACTCAGCTACCTGAAAGGCTGAGGTGGGAGAACTGCTTGAACCCCGGAGGTAGAGGTTGCAGTGAGCTCAGATCACCAACTGCACACTCCAGCCTGGGTGACAGAGCAAGACTCTATCTCAAAAAAAGGAAAAATCAATGCAAACATCAAATGCTGGCAAGAATGGGAAACAATAGGAATTTCCTTTTTTTGCTGGTGGTAATGTAACATGGTACAGCAGTGTTGGAAGACAGAATGAAAGTTTCTTACAAAGCAAAGAGATTTATTGTATGATTAAGAAACCATGCTCCCAGGTATATACATAAATTAGTTGGAGACATGTCCACACAAAAAACTGTACTTCAATGTAAAAAAGTGGAAGCATTGAAGATGTCCTTCAATAAATAAATGGATAACTAAACTGTGGTACATTCATACAGTGGGATATTAGTCATCAATGTATTAGTCTATTCTCACGTTGCTATAAAGAGCTACCTGAGACTGGGTACTTCATGAAGAAAAGACGTTTAACTACCTCACAGTTCCGTGGAGGAAGGGGGAAGCAAGTCATGTCTTCTTATTACAACAGGAGGGAGAAAGAGTAAAAAGGGAAGTGCTACATACTTCTAAACTATCAGATCTGGTGAGAACATACTCACTATCATGAGAAAAGCAAGGAGGAAATTCACCCCCATGATCCAATCACCTTCCACTAGGCCCCTTCTCCAATTCAAAATGGGGTTTGTGCAGGCATACAAATCCAAACTACATCAATCAATAAAAGGAAATCAGCTATCAACTTACAAAAAGAAAAAAAAATGAAACTGAGACTCATATAGCTAAATAAGACAGTCTTAAAAAAGCTTCAAATAGTATAATTTTAATACATGATCTTGTTAAAAAGGCAAAACAATGGGCATCATTATCAGTAGATTCTCAGGGCTCAGTGTGGAGAAGGCAGGGATGAGCAGGTCTAGCAAAAGGGATTTTTAGGGCAGTGAAACTATTCTATATGATATTATAATATTGGATCATGTCATTATGCATTTGCCAAACCTATAGAACTTTACAACATAAATAGTGAACTTTACTGTAAAATACGCATTCAATCATGTATCAATATTTCTTCATCAAAAGTAACAAATGTGCTGTACTAATACAAGATATTAATGATAGGAGCCACTGTGTACATGCTGGGTAGGGAACTCTGCATACTTTCTATACAGTTTGTTGGTAAACTAAAATTGCTATAAAATATAAAAACAAAAAAATCATCAAACATTCTTCAAAGAAAAAATCACTAGTGGTTATAAAACATATAAATAGATTGAAGCTCTGTTATCAATTATGTTATGATTGCAGTTCTGTTATCAATGAATAAGAACATGAACATCATCTGATAATGAAAGAATTATAACTAAAAGTCACACAGATCGTCAGCAATCAAAAATGTTGCTTGAAACCACATTGCCGTGTGTACCTATGCAACAATCTTGCATGTTCTTCGCATGTACCCCAAAATCTAAAATGTAAAAAATATGTATTTGAAAAAAAATGTTGCTTGAAGACTGTGCTGGCAAAGTACATAGCTGATCCAGCAGCAATACTTCTAGGAATTTATCCTACAGATAGCTGTACTCCCGAAATACTGAAAATAAAGCAAGAACCAATCAAGAAGAGACCAATTACATTGATAATGTGCATGCAGGCAAATGAATAGTCTGAGTTCTTAAAAAAAGAAAAAATCTGTTTATTTATTAATATGGAAGCCTATTCTCAATATATTGATATATTCACATATATATTATGTGAAAAAAAAGGAAGCATTACATGAAGAATGTGAGCAGAACATACTGTTATGTATGTAAAGTGTGGAATGTTCATAGTTTAGTTTAGATCTCTGGAGAAATCTCCGTGGATCAAATTTAGTAAAAGAACTTTCTTCTACTTAATGTGTGAATTCACTAACATCCCCAATGGGTAATGATCCAGTTGTTTCTGGAATTCTAGTAAAGCAGTATTCACTACCCTCACAGACATTCTCTTAAATTTAAAATAATTATAGAAAATCTTTCCCTAAATGGGAGATTTTATTTCTTTTCTTTTCTTTTCCTTTCTTTTCTTTTCTTTCTTTTCTTTTCTTTTTGTGAAATGGAGTTCCTCTTTGTCACACAGGCTGGAGTGCAGTGGCACAATCTTGGCTCACTATAGCCTCTGACTCCCAGGTTCAAGCGATTCTCTTGCCTCAGCCTCCCGAGCAGCTGGGATTACAGGTGCCTGCCACCATGCACAGCTAATTTTTTTTTTTTTTTTTTTTTTTTTTTTGTATTTTTAGTAGAGACCAGGTTTCGCCATGTTTGCCAGGCTGGTCTCAAACCCCTGACCTCAGGTCTTCCACACTGTCTTCCACAATGTTTCCACTAATTTACACTCCCACCAACAATGTGAAAGCATTCCTATTTCTCCATATCCTCTCCAGCATCTGTCGTTTCCAGACCTTTTAATGATTGCCATTCTAACTGGTATGAGATGGTATCTCAATGTGGTTTTGATTTGCATATCTCTAATGACCAGTGATGATGAGCTGCTTTTCATGTTGTTTGGCTGTATAAATGTCTTCTTTTGAGAAGTGTCTGTTCATATCCTTTGTCCACATTTTCATGGGGTTGTTTCTTTTTTTCTTGTAGATTTAAAGTTTTTTGTAGATTCTGGCTATTAGCCCTTTGTCAGATGGGTAGATTGCAAAATGTTTTTTCCATTTTGTTGGTTGCCAGTTTGCTCTAATGACAGTTTCGCTTGCTGTGCAGAAGCTCTTAAGTTTAGACAAATCCTATTTGTCTATTTTGGCTTCTGTTGCCATTGCAAATTCCACTTGTTCATTGACGATTAATAGGAAAACTTTTCACTTTGGCATATTAATCTTGTATCCTGCAACCCCGCTGTAATTGCTCATTAGTTCCAGCACTGTTTTTGTCTATTATTTGAGATTTTCTACGTATACATTTGCAAAGGCAATTTTATTTCTTCCTCTTAATCTGTATACATTTCATTCCATTTTCACTTTTTTTTAACATGGATTTTCTGTCACATGTTGAAATCAATGGCAAAAATGGACATTCTTGGCTTGTTCCTGACCTCAGCAGGAAAGCTTTGAGTTCCTCACCATTCAGTACAAAATGTGTAGAGTTTTTGCTATATATGTTTTTAATCAGGTTGATAAAATTCTTCTCTATTCCTAGTTTAATGAGTTTGTGTTTATGAATGGGTGTTTGATTTTATCAAATGCATTTTTGAATCTATTGATGTGATCATGTGATATTTTTATTCTTTAGTCTTTATTATTTATATAATATATAATTGATTTTTGAATGTTGAACCAGTCTTGTAAACCTGAAATACATTCCACTTGGTTGTGGTGCATAATTTTTTAATGCAATGTCAAAGTCAATTAGCTATTTTTGAGAACTTCTGCACCTATATTTGTGAGATGTATTCCTCTGTAGTCTTCTTTTCTTATAATGTTTGTCTGCTTTGGGTATTAGGATAATGCTGACCTCATAGGATGAAACAGGAAATATTCCTGCTGCTTCTATTTCTCTGTAGGAGATTGTAATGGGTTGGTATAAATACCTACTTAAGTGTTTTATAGAACTCACCATGAACCCATCTTGGTTTGGCGTTTTCTGTTTTAGAAAGTTATTACCAATCATTTCTTTAACAGATATAGGCTTATTGAGATCTATTTCTTCTTGTGTGAATTTAGGTAGATTGTATCTTTCAAGGAAGTGGTCCATTTCATTCAGGTTATTAATATTGGGAACCTGGTGTTGTTTATGGTATTCCCTTTTGATCCTTTTAAGGTCAATGAGGCCTACGGCGATGTTCCTTCTTTGATTTCTGATATTAGTAAATTATGTCCTCCTTTTATCTAAATTATCCTAACAAGGGACTCATTAATTTTCTTATTTTTTTCAGAGAAACAGCTTTTGGTTTTGTTCTTAATTTTCTCTCTGCATGTCCTGTTTTAAATTTCACTGTGCTGTACTTTTACTATTTATTTTCTGCAGATTGCTTTGGATTTAATTTGCTCGTCTTTTTCTAGTTTGCTAAGGTAAAAGATGATTGATTTAAAATAGTCTTCACATGTTTTTAAGCCTGATTTTGCTGCATCCATAACATTTGATGTTATAATTTTATTTTTACCTATTTCAAAATATTTTTAAATTTCTCATGAGATTTTATCTTGACCCATGTTTCTTAGAAGTATATTGCTTAATCTTCACAGGTTTTGAGATTTTCCAATTATCTTTCTGTCATTAACTTCTAGTTTGATTCCACTGTGGTTTGAGGACAGATATTGCATGAGTTCCATTCTTTCAAATTTCCTTTTTTTTTTTTTTTTTTTTTTTCTGAGACAGTCTTGTTTTGTTACTCAGGCTGGAGTACAGTGATACGATCTTGCTCACTGCAACCTTGGCCTCCTGAATTCAGCCAATTCTTATGCCTTGGCCTCCTGAGTAAGTTGGCATCTCAGGTGTGTACTAACATGCCTAATTTTTTTTTTTTTTTTTTTTGTATTTTTGTAGAGACGGGGTATCACCATGTTGTTCACTATGTTGATCTGGCTGGTGTCAAATTCTTGACCTCAAGTGATCTGCCCACCTTGGCCTCCCAAAGTGCTGGGATTACAGGCCTGAGCCACCATGCCTGGCTTTAAATTTCTTAAGATATCTTTTATAGTCCAGAATGTGGTCTATCTTGGTGAATATTCTATATGAGCTTGGGAAGACTTTGTAGTCTGTTGCTGTTTGATGGAATAGGTTACATCTGTTATACTGTTGATTAATAGTATTATTAAGTTCAACTATATCTTATTGAATTTTGCCTAGTGAATCTGTACATTTCTGATAGAGGCATGTTGAAGTCTCCAATATAATTTTGGATTCATTTATATCAATTATCCACTTAATATTGTCCATAGGTTCTTAGAAACTGCCTTTAAGCAAAACAATATACTACATGCCATCAGAACGTAACTGTTTTTATACCAATTATCTATGGTGAAATTGGTTTCATTACACAATACATAATTTCACTTAAAATTGTAATTTCCAAGAACCTGTTGACAATGTTAAGTGAAGACTTACTGCATTTCTCTTTGCAGCTCTATCATTTTTCCTCACATATTTAGACACTCCATTTTTACATGCTTACATGTTAAGTATTGTTCTGTTTCTTCAAAGGATAATAGGATAACTAATTCCTTTGTTATTATGTAAAGACTGTTTTAATCCTTCATAAATTTCCTTGCTTTTAAATCTGCTGTGTTTCAAATTAATATAGCTACTCCCACTTTCTTTCTTTTGATTAGTGTTATCAGGGTATTTCTCCCTGATATTAATGTGGTATAAGGTTCTGAAGAGAAAGTAGCATTCTGTAGTTCTTTGATAAGGCCTCAATCTTTTAGTAAGCCTGTACCTCTGGATTATGAACTTCAAATATATTTCTCAGCTTCTGTCTCCCACTCCTTAGGTAGAATGTGATGGCTTGACAGTGCTCGAGTTATATATTTTCCTCCCTCCAAAAAAAATGCTAGAGACGCCTGGAGTTTAGCTCCTGTAGCTTCATAACTTTGTCAATAATAGAAAAACATTTTATTTCCCCAGTGAAAAGAATAAATAGAATTGTTCTCTTAATATTTGTATGTGTAACTTGGTTTATTTTCTTTTAAGGTATGCATACTGAAGATAAAAAATGTAAGATATTTTACACAATTTAAACTGATAATTTACTCTGTTTTTTCTCTTTTCACAGAAGGGTCTACTTGGGCATATCTTTAGCTTTAAGAGCCCCAGCACTTGTTTTATATATTGTATTCATTTTTTTAATCAACAAAACATTTCAAGAAAAAGATACCAAGTCTTTGGATAATGAAAGAAAACTAATGGATGAAGCAAACTTAGAATTCTTAAGTAACAGTGAACATTTTGTACCTTCTGCTGGAGCAGACAGTAAAACATGTAATTTGTACATGAAAGACAATGCTGTTGCTGACTAACATTGTACTGATTCGTTAAGATGTTATTTTGAAGAGTTCTTGGTATTTTCACTGAGAATTTCAACATTCTTTACTTACAGTGGAACAATGAATAAGCTTATGAATTTATAATAAAACAAACTATAAAAAATGGGAGTACCCATGGTTAGGATATCACTATATATTTATGGTTAATATTAGGATATATGATCCATAAAAATTTAAAGTGAGAGGCATGGTTAGTATGTAATAGAATAAAAAATAATTGCTTGGTAGTTGTAACTGCTAATAAAACCGGTGACTAGAATATAAGTAGAGGTAAAAAGGAGAAGGTAGATTAATAGCCTAAATGAAGAGAAAAGCCTGATACCTTAAAACACACACACACACACACACACACACACACACACATACACAGAGAGAGAGAGAGAGAGAGAGAGAGAGAGAAACACTATAGATGTATTACTTAGGCCTAAATCTGGATTTATGCTATAATGTTATATATTTCATATTAAGTTGTATATTTTCAGAAATTACAAATATTTATTTATAATTTGAAATTGTGTTTGACTAACAAACTCAATGCGTCTTCTTCCATCTTCCACTAAGATCCTGCAGAAAAAATAGAAATATTCAAATAATTGTGATGTATAATTATGAGACAACATATTATAGTATGTGTTAAGTTTCAACTGGACTCATGGAAATGGGATTAAGAGAAACTGACTTTAACTTGAGAAAGCAAAACCCATTGATAAGGTGCATCTTTGTTGCATCTGTCTTTACTCTGGGAGAAGCAAAATCTGTGTTATTCTCTTGCATACTTGTTTGTTTATTCATTGTGCCCAAAAGGTGTCTCCCACATCTCTGCAAACTGTACAAGAAATAGAGAAAACAAGATCCAATATTTAAATGTTGCATTTTCTAGTAGTGATGCAGGATATTTCTTGGCCTCTTCACTGGACTTGCAACAGGAGTGCCCTGTTTATTTGGTCTGCCATGATCAACCCCTTTGGGAGCATCTAAATATATAAAGGAAACATTAATAGATTTACAGGGAGAGATACACAGCAATAAAATAATTTAGAGGGATCCTAGGTCTAAAATCAGAATTCTTCAAAATCTACCTCTCATCCTATTGTACTGTGGCTAAACTGGCACCCAAGCCACAAGACAAAGTCCTTCCCACTCTTTTCTCCACTTTCTCTTCTTGTGGCCACCACTTTCCCAGGCCCACAGCACCTATTGACTGGCTACCACCAATGTTCATTCCAGGAATAAGGGTTTTTCAGTCAGCTTGTGGTCAGTACAGCCAGGTCTGGGCCTGTCCCTTCAGATCAATGGGCTCTCCTCTGGTACAGGGCAGGTCTAGAAATGCCATCTACAAACCAAGGCCTGCATCACTGATATATTATGATTTTTTTTCTTTCTCTCTCTCTTGCTGCTTTTAGGATCCTTTCTTTATCCTTGAGTTTTGGGAGTTTGATTATTAAATACCTTGGGGAGTCTTTATTGGGTTAAGTCGATATTTTTGTCTAGAAAATTCTCTGTTTGTTTTCACATTGTTATATCTAAAATTGCTATGTAAATATAATAAGTATCTGTACTTATACTCCCTTTTCCATTCTTAATAGTGTTTATTTGTGCTTCCTCTCTTTCTTTACTTGCCTTTCTAGATTATTTTATTGTTATTATACTTCACCTGCTTTTTATTTTTTTTTTTTTCGGTTACCTCTATGGCATATAGTCTATTTATAAATTTCTGCCTTTTATTTCTAAAATTTTATTTTCTTATGAAACATTTCTATAATATAGAAAAGATACTGGTGATTAGATTTAAGACCTGCTGTAATCCAGCATAATCTGATTTTAACAACTAATTCCATTTGTAAAGACTCTGTTTTCAAATAAGCTCATATACTGAAGTTCTGAGTCAATATAAAACACCACTCAACCTAGTACAAGGTGTTCCACCTCATTAATCAGATTAAAACACTGAATCTGGATATAATCTTTTCACTCCTGATAAGTGCCTCATTTTCCTTTTGGAAACTAATATCCCAGAAACCACTGGGATAGTAGACTTAGAACCTGTGCATTCAGCCTGTGCATTTAGCTCTGTTTACTCCTTTGTGTTTCTGTTTAATTTCTGGAAAACCAGATGTTAGGGGCAATGCTTATATTGTCTTTGAACATAAATATATCCTTTGGAATTTTAAAAACATATTGTACCAATTATTATTTGACATAGGAAATATAGCAATATGTATTGATATATTGAATTATTTATCAGTTTGTTCTACTTTATTGTAGTTACCTTCTGTCCTTTTCTAAGTATAAATTCATTAATTTTCATGTGTTTGTATGTATGTGTGCATGTGTTTTTTAAACACACAACGCATATACACACACACACATTTAAAGCTCTAAAAATCCCTTTGGTTATTGGTTGGTTTAGCATCATCTCATGAATTTACCTATTCAGTGTTTTCATTGATATACCATTCTAATTATTTAATTATTTTATTACAATTTATTCTTTTTCCCATGAATAATTTAAGAATGCATTTGTTTCATTTCAAACATTTGAGGTTTTCAGCACTGTTTTATTATAGATTTCTAACTTTATTGCATTGTGGACAGCCAACAATATTTATATGTCATCAACATTTTTTTATTGTTTTAAACTTTTTTAGTGGCATAGGTCCTTAGGGTTAACAAATATCTATGAGATATCTATCTGTCTATCAGATATCTATATATCTATTAGATTACTCTTGTACAATTTAATTGTTCAAATCTTCAGCATCCTCACTAATTTTTGTTTGTATTTAACATTGATCTGTAGTTCAAGTGTGTTGAAATTTCCCACTCTTATTGTAGATTTCTTCCGGTAATTTTGTAAATTTTTGTTTTACATATGTAAGTTACAATGACAGATTTACATGGATGCATAACTATTATATATTCTCAGCAGAATTTTGTATCATTAATTAATATTCCTCTTTAACCCTATTAATTCTTTCCCCTTTTAATTATATTTTATCTCGCCATCATTGATATAACTACAAAAGTGATATAATATATGTCTGATATATCTTTCCTAACCTTTATCCTCAGTCTTTCTTTGCATTATGTTTTTGATCTGTCTCTTATAAACAAGTTACTGTTGAAATTTAGAAGCATCTAATGTGAAAACCATTGTCTTTTGAGAAGGAATTTTCCTCTGTTTGAATTTATTGTAAAACCACTTAGGCTTATTTTTTCAATTTATTTTTGTTTTTATTTTCTTCTTTCTTACTTCCATTACATTTTCCTTAAAAATTTTCTCCCCTTTTATTAGTTGGTACAAATATCAGTGACCATCCTTATATTTTTGGCAAAATTTAAAGGTCAACAGTAGTTTGTTCTCAAGAACTGTAAAATAATCTTGGATTTTTTCTGGTCTGTAAGCTAACAGGTTAGGCTGCCGTAGGTCTATGGGTCCTGACAGAAACTACAAGGCTCCTGGATCAGAAACAGGATGTTTTCACTCATAGCATAGCAGTCAACACAAGCTTCATGTTCAGGGTAATTTGTCTTACTCTCCAAGTCCCAAAGGTACTTTACACAGGAGGAGACCCAAGTAAACATTGTGCACACAATGGGTTTAAATTACAGCCAAGAAATCCTGAGTTTAGAAAATCCCACAATGCAAAATACTAACCAGTATATGATCACAGCCAAGGAAATTCCAATATTTTAAATAGGCTACAAGATAATCTGCCCAATCTTTTCCCAAGAGGGAGACATTTTATCATCCTGAACAACAAACTACCTGCCCTCTGCTTTAGAGAGAGATATGTATATCTTTCAAGGTCATTTTAGTACTCCAACATGTTAGTAATCCAACAATCAAAACAAAAGCTGTCACTTTGTCTGATGTACTCTTAAAAGCGTTACCTCCTGACTGGACACCAAGCAACACAAAACCAGCACACTTAATAAAAATACAACCAAGGACCCTCAGAGCTCACTTGACTACCCTGCTGCCTTCACTGGAGAAGGTGCTGGTATCCATGGCTGAGAGACCTGAAGATGGATCACACCACAGGACTCTTTGTAGATACTCCCTACCTAATACCAGCCCAGAGCCTAGTAGCTCTTCTAAGTGTCTAGATCCAAATGAGAAATAACAATCATGGCTATTTGTCTCTCAAGAAGACCCCTTTCTAGGAGAAGTAGGAGAGCACTACATCAAAGAAGCACTCCATGGGACAAAAGGATCTAAACAGCAGCCCTTAAGTCACAGATCTTCCCTCTAACATAGTCTATCCAAATGAGGGGGAAAAAAACCCATAAAAACAATTCTGGTAATATGAAAAAACAAAGTTATTTAACACCATCAAAAGATTACACTACATCACCAGCAATGGATCCAAATCAAGAGGAAATCTCTGGATTACCAGAAAAAGAATTCAGAAGGTTCGCTATTAACCTAAGCAAGGATATTCCAGAGAAAGGTGAAGTCTGAGATAAAGAAATTCAAAAAACTGACACAGGATATGAATGGAAAAAAAATCCAGTAAAATAGATGGCATAAATAATAAAAAAATCACAACTTCTGAAAATGAAGGACATATTTAGAGAATTGCAAAATGCACTGCAAAGTTTCAGAAATGAAATTAAACATGTAGAAAAAGGACTTCAGAGCTCAAAGAGACATTTTGAATTAATCTGACAAGAGCAAGAAAAAATAATTTAAAAAAAATGAACAGTCTCCAAGAAGTTTGGGATTATGTTATGTGACAGAACCTAAAAATAATTTGAGTTCCTGAGGAGGTAGAAAAATCTAAAAGTTTAAAAAACTTATTCAAGGGAATAATCAAGAAATGTTTCATCAGTCTTGCTAGAGTCTAGACATCCAAATATAAGAAACTCAAACACCTGGGAAATTTATTGCCAAAATGCCATCACCTAGGCACATAGTCATCAGTTTATCTAAAGTCGAGAAGAAGGAAAGAATCTTAAGAGCTGTGAGGCAAAAGCATCAGATAACCTGTAAAGGAAGAGCTATCAGATTAACAGCAGATTTCTCAGCAGAAACTCTGCAAGCTAGAAGGGATTGGGATCCTATCTTTAGTTCCCTTAAACAAAATGATTCTCAGCCAAGAATTTTGTATCCAGCAAAACCAAGCTTTATAAACTAAGGAAAGATGCAGCCTTTTTCAGACAAATACTGAGAGAATAATTTGCCACTACCAAGCCAGCTCTACAAGAACTGCTAAATGGAGCTCCAAATCTTGAAACAAATCCTCAAGAAACAACCAAATAGAATCTCCTTAAAGCATAAATCTCACAGGACCTTTAAAACAGTAACACGGTGGGGAAAAAAAAAAAAAAAAAAGCAAAGGTATTTTGGCAATAGTACCTCACATCTTAATACTGAGCATAAATATGTAAGTGCTCCACTTAAAAGTTACAGAATGGGAGAATGGATATGAATTGTTGAACCAAATATCTGCTGTCTTCAAGAGACTTACCTAATACATAAGAACTCACATAAACTTAAGGAAAAGGGGTGGAAAAAGATATTCCATGCAAATGTACACCAAAAGCAAGCAGAAGTAACTATTCATATACCAGAAGAAACAAACTAAAGTAACAGCAATTTTAAAAGACAAAGAGGGACATTATATAATGATAAAAGGACTAGTCCAACAGGAACATGTCGCAATCATAAATATGTATGTGTTGTGGGAATCAGGAGGCTGGAGAGACCAGTGGGTGGAACAGGAGGATTTTATCTAGGTACAATGGCTCAGCAGATTAACATCCAAAGACTGAGGCCTGAACAATGGTAGGGCTTGAATTTTATACATGAAAGGCAGTGGCACTAAAACAGACTTTACAGGTGCAGAACAAAGG